CATTCACACATCGCACGTATGTACTTATTGTAATAAACTGCTAACTGTAACATCTGATTCCAATCAAGCATGTGTGTGACATGTTCCAAGAATGAATTACTCTACATGTGGGTAATATTAAACATGTGGAACTGTAGCAAACCTTTTTTCAGTGTAATATGGATAAACTATCCATAAAAATATATATATTTAGAAAAAAATGAGATTATAAATCAATATATATATATATATATATATATATATATATATATATATATATATATATATATATATATATATATATGTGTGTGTGTGTGTGTGTGTGTGCGTGTGTGTACGTGCGCGTGTATTCGTCCGTGGTGTTTATATCGCTATTAGAAGTAAGTTTAATATCTACAATGTCTCCTACGTAGAATATAAAATCGTATTTCAGCCACTGTACGGAAGCTAAAAACTTATACTAAGGATAGTTAATTCAAAAAAAAGCTAAACATTTTTCCGTGAACGTTAACAATAATTGTTAAATTTTATCTATTCCCATTCTAGTTCGAAAACGGGACAATATATCACGAAAACTATCCGGGTCGAATGACCATTTCTAGCGACCCTTCCGCCAAACTACAAAACACCTCTCGCAAAGTCCCCAAAACTCGAAAAAAATCCATCCTTAAGCCGAAGAAAGAATATTAAAACTTTCTTATCTCTCATACAAAGAAAAGATTTTATCGCAGCCATCTAGATGATTCGGACTGGAGTTGCCATAAATTGATAGAAAGCAATTGTTATTAACGGCGGCCTTACTCTCTAAACGACATTTTTATTGGGACTCCTTAAGATAACCGTAGGCAATAATGGGTAGTTTTTCTTGTTCCTTTGAGCTGTAAAAAGTGAGGACACTGGCGCCAGTTCGTGAGCGGCGGCGGTGGAGGGGACGGTAGGGACGCCAGGCGCCTCGCCAGAGACGCTACGGGGACGCCAACCTAGTAAAAGTGAAAGGATGATCGGCCCCGTGTTACGGGCAACCAGCCAGAATTGAGGTTGTTGGATTTTTGGATGCTGCAAACGAAACTTAGGATGTTTCTCTCTCCCTCGAGACTACTTCGGATAACGCACAGGTTCCTAAATAGTTATATATACACTGCCAAAAATTTACAGAATCTATAATGACAAATCAAAAAGTAAAAAGTCAGTATATTACTGGAACAACAATACATTTTATTATTTAATTATTTTATGTAATTAAATAATTAATGAGAATAATTAATATTATTTATTTATTTCAATTAATGTCTATGTGATACCTATGGTCTTTAGCACGGCTTACAGTTTACAGTTTACGTATATATGATATAAATTACAAATAATATAGTTAACATTTAGTATAAAAACATTTAACATTTATATATTTTTTTAACAATTGATTTTTCTCGAGGAATTTCATCATCTTCTTGATTTGGTCTGTGCTGTTTAGGACCTCTTTGAAGATAGGACTGATAATGAGTTGTTTCCGAATTTAGCAAAAAAAGGACATTCGATAGTAGTATATGTAGAAGTATTTATGTATGCTTCGAAGAGTTGTATTACAGTGCTGATATTTCTGGAGATAATGTCATCAGATAGCCATGTGCTAAGCGGATATGTCCTATACGCAATCTCGTTATGATTGCCACATTTTCCGAAACAAACTAGGACGGATAAATAGGTTCTCTAAAAGTTTAATTTCGTGCAGAGCAGATGTAACTTTATTTTAGTGAATATGCCAAGTGGGTAGACTATGTGTCTTCAGTCTAGCTCTGAGATCTACAGATTTGTATATTAATAATGGTGTTCATAGAAGATGCGGCCTTTTTAGCAAGGCAATCGTTTTTATTTGTTACCACTAAATATATATATATATATATATATATATATATATATATATATATATATATATATATAATGGAAAAGAATCTTTTTCGGGATTCTTTAACGTTTGGCATTCCTTTCCCCAGGTAGCTGTAGCTTTCTCCGTGGTTGGTGTTTGTTGCCCTGGAAACCATCAGGGTCTTCTAACTCTAATGCCACAAATTGGTTGCATTGCTTCTGTAGTGATCCTTTCCCAAGTTAATATGCTCCTTTTCTAACTTGGCTGCACCGTACTGAAGACGACCAATAGTCAGAAATACGTTTATACGGTCGCCTTTCATCGATATACCATTTTTGGTTTTTGTTTTGCGAGATAGACTCAGAGAGATCATGGCTAAATTCTTTGAATGCCTAAGTAGAAATCTTTGTATACAAAAATTCAACATTCAAGAAAATATATTATATGGAAGCGTTTAGGTAGATAAAGCATATCGATTTTTAGATTCTTTCGTTTGATAAGGATGTACACGAAAGAGATTTGTTTATGGGAATTAAAAATTCATCATGATATAAAATAAAATAGTTCAAATAGTTGTCTACTAAATAAGTTGAAATGTGATTGATTGAAAATATTGGCTTGGTGTAAATGATGCTAGGTGATGATTGGTCAAAAGTGAAAGAGTGGGACCTGAGAGACGTGTTCTGGAGAGTGGAACGAGTGGGTTGAAAGTTGGGAAGCCATAGCCTGTAGTAACAAGAAGTGTGTAGATTGTTTTAAAGTGTCTGTCGAACGTGCCGCAAGAAGTGCATACTAGTTCACAGGAAAGTTACAGCCTGAAAAATTATTATTTGGTGTAGCATAGATGTGTAACGCTAATTGAGGGAGTGAGTCCTTTCAATTAGTAAGGAAGTGTGTTCTATGGTATAAGATTATACAGGAGGTGTTGAAGATACTGTAGGGGCATTAATGTGGATATGAGAGACTTTTAAACACCTCAGGAGAACGGGGGTTTTGCACAGCATCCAAGGATACAGCAGCAAGCCGGCAGAACATAATCAAGGAGCCATTAGAAAGAGTGTATGAATTAAAAAAGGTCAGTCTGATTAAAAATTGAACAAGGATTATTATACGTAAGTCGTAAAATATTTACTCATTACTCAACACCGCGTTGGCCACCATAGGCTGTTTGGATTCGAACTGAGATTTCGTTGCGCATCGCTGCTTATATAAAGCCAAAACGAGGCTACGAGAACGTTCCAGAGTGCCATCTAGTAGCGAGCGCTTTCGCGATTATCATGGAAGAGTTTTGCGATGTAGACACAAGCTAATATTTCGCGGTGTACAATGTGCAGTCGACTTTTTATTATTTATTTTTATTGTAAATGCTATTCTGTCAGAAGTACCTACTACTAATTACTAGTGGGACAGATCGCAATCATTAAAATAATTGTATTAAAATAAAATAATTGTTTTTGATTTAAACTTAAACAGTAAAGTAAAATTAAATTTAAGAAACCATCAGATAATTGTAAATTAGGCACGCTATTTCTGTCAAATAATATTGAATAAATGAGTGGGGGGAAATTGGGGGGTCGCGAACAAATTTTTTAGCAAAAAGAGGTCGCGGTTTAGATAAGTTTGGGAAACTCTGTAGTAGAGCATAGGGTATATGTTTATGTTTTAATTAAAATTTATATTTGATCTGGTAATTGAATAAATGGTACGATAATTTATTATCATAAAATTATTGAATTTCATTTATATTTCCATTAGACCTACGTAGAGTAATTAGAGATAAAAAAGTTTTTAGCCCGGAGGTCATTAATTAATTAAAACAATTTTTATTTGTCTTGAAAAATTAAACTTTAAGAACAATTAAAGTTTGTATACAAAACAGCAAAAAAGGGCACAGTTTGCAATTCATAATAATATGTAGGTATTTGTGGTCTTGCTATATTTAACTATCAAATTCTCCCTTCTCTAAAAATATGCTTTTTAATTTTCTTTACTCAGAATACTCTTTAAGACAATTTGAAATACAAAAAAAATACATGTAAACTTCTAAAAATATTTTCTTTCAAATTTTTTATGAGTGAGACAAAAGATTAATATGACCTCCACCCTCCTATTCAAGATGATTCGTCAAGACGCACATAAGTTGCTTTCACATCAAAATGAGAAAGGTGTTGACTAAGCATATTATTTTAATCGATTTTTCTACTAGTAATGGATATTTTGAATGGATCGGAATTAACCGCTTACATTTTGTAGATATTTTTAAAAGTTAACTAATTATTGTAGAATTTATTTATAAGTTTAAACAATTTTAAATTTATTAGAGAATAAAGTGGCTATAATGTGCAAGTTCTAATTCAAAATCGGATAAATCTAAATCTAAAGTTTATTTTATATAAAATTTTAAATATTACAACAATATAATTCAATAATGCAATATTTTTACACACACTACCTATATGCTGCTTTTATCTGAGTGTTTGCCAAACATCCACTATCCACTGTCTTGGGGAACTCTGAATTTTCAATTAATTTTACTTCCTTCTTGAGTCAATTGGCTTGTATTACCTGTCGGCTAAAACAGTCCCCCTTTCGAGCGGGGAAAAAGTATATTCATACAGTTATAACATAACATCGACCTAGTGTCATCACGTTAATAAATGTTACCATGGTTGTCATCTAATGTAAAGGTTTTGAAACCTATTTCAGTACCTAGTTTCAACCACTAAAAATTTATTTTCCACATTTCTAGAAATTTACTAGTCAAAATTTTACCTATTTTTGAGTCATTTTAAAGTGGAAATATATTTTCAGGATTTGTTGATGATGGTCCGAACCTAAAAAAAAATATACTATAAATAAATGTAAAATAAATGTAATAAAATAACATATACACAAAGTAAGTTTTTTAAAGTTTGATAACTATTTGTAAACATAAAGTGAAATTATGAAAAAACGAAAAAAAAAAGATAGCTTTAATAAAATATATCTTTTACCCAGCAAAATCGCGTTAAGGTTTATTTATTTTAATGAGTATATTTTGCTCTAAAGAACCTGATCCTAGTCTGCGTTCTAATAGTTATAACTCACTTGTGTATAATAAACTATTTGAAAAAAAAATTATGACTATTGGTCACTAATTACTTATTTTTTGTTTCAGGAAATGAATTTCTGCAACCATAGAATCAAGTTTATGTAGATTGGTTCTGCGCCGCTATTCTATCTGTTGTGCAACCGTTGACAGTGTAATCTTGTTAAAATGATCTCGTGTTATGCTCATTATTAATTGTTTGTACAGAAATGAATATGCTTTTATGTCTTTTCTATTACAAGAAATAATGTTAGTTTTATGATCTAGAAGCAGACCCAAAAAGATCCCGACACAAATTAAATGAATCAAATATTTATTTATTGATGTATTTGACCAAATGGTTTACTAAATGATCAAATCTTTTTGCCAACATTGAACAAATTATCAGTTGTTGTTGTTAAACATTAATGGGTTTATACATCCAGTTTGTTCCCAGCAAACACGTAAGCACGTTTATTGTAGAGAATATTTAATTTAGACATTATACTTTGCTACCTAAAGTTTTCTAGTCACCGTTTTCGTATTCATAGTGTAGGACCGTGAGACTAAAACAAATCAAATATACTTGAAATGTGTTAAACCAAATTTTTTGATTTGTACAATTTCGGAATCTAAAAGAAATTTACTTGTATCCCATGTGTCTTCTCAAACACGATTGTCGACAGGTTAAATCTTACCAATACTAACTTAGTCTTAATAAGTTGGACTGTAAAAGTCATGGAGATTATATATGTACCATCTAATTGTCTGTCATGTAATAGTTAACAAGTACTTTTCGTATATACAATTCCCCTTAAATACTTTTGTTTGTACTGTTAAGTGCGTCTTTAATTTAATAGTAATATCCAACAGTTTTTGGTGTTTTACTCTTTACTTTCCAGTGTCTCCAGATCATCGATCCATGGAAAATATCAATATCAGTAGCCATTATTTCTTCGATTGGATTTTTTGCTACTTTTTTGATCTCCCTAATGTCTCGTTTTGAATAATTTCTATATACAATGACAACCGTTTTATGACATGCTGTAAAAACTAATATTTTTATCTACTTTTACATACATGTGTTTCATCCAATTTTTTGATACTGTTACTCTCCGATTTATTGATTCTTCTTTGTGTTCAGGTTTTATTTTATATAATTTATGTAACTAAAATATCTCCCTATATATGTTGCTAACTTTTCCATTTTCTAATACCCTGTTACTTTCTTTTTTGCTTTCATTTGCATGAATCTTTTTATCTACCATTTTGCAAATAAAGTCTTATATTTTCACCTCTGTGAGGTTTCACGTCAGTAATTCATTTTACATTTAATTGATTTAGGTTTAACATCAAAGACAGTTCAACACAATCAAGTGATCTGATTCCTACATCTGTTAAATCCCGAATACTAGCAAAAACATCAATAAAGTAGCCAAATGACCCAGTGCAACTCATGCTGAATAAAATAGTACCATCGAGAAAACCTAATGTATGGATAGACAGTTATAGTGTTTGACCGTTTGTTCAACTTAAGGCCTAACACTGTTAAGCCATCCTAATTAAAATTAATTAATGATAATTTAGAGGTAGCCTACGACTAAAAAATCTTACGAGCAAATTTTAATATAACGTGTTATTTTCCATAAGAAAATCTGTTAGAATAATAATATGTAAAATCTTAGTTTCCATGTCAGATGAACAAACTAGGTGGAACAATAATGTAAGTTATCTGATTTGAATGGAACTTTTTGGGTCCTCTTCCGATCTCTGCCTTCATTAATTTCTCATTTCTGGTGCCATTTGTTCTACAGTTTTAAGTTCATAGATGCCAATTTTTATAAGGTAAGCGGTATGGGTTGGCAGCTCAATATTCCCTGAAAAAAGAAAAAAAACAAAAAAATGAAAATGTTGTTCGATTACTAGTAATTTTTTTTTAAATTTGTAATTTATAAGGCCAGATTGATTATACATAGTGTAAAATAAGAGTTAATATAACAATTTGAAGCAGCATCTCGTAAGAAAATGTCAAAATACCGTCGACTTTTCAAGAAACAGAGTTCAAATATTTATTTTGGGTGTTTTATGCAAAGCTAGTCTTATGATTTGTGAATATAAATGTTCTTTTTGACGATGTATATAGAAAGATAATTTTAAAATACATATAAAGTTTTATTTGCTTAACTTTTAATGTTGAAAACTTCAAGTCAGCTCTAAAATTTTATAAGTGTCGTTAAATCATAAAATCAACATTAGGTAAATATGTTACAGCATATATCACAGTCATTAAATCGTACAATTACATATAAATGCCAGATACTAAAGTTTGTTACATAATTTGGCATAATTTGTTAAAAACACTTTTTAAACGGATTTCATTGTTTTGTGAGTGTCAAACTGTCAAAAGCTTTGTGTACTTACCTGCTATTACATATGTTATACTGTTACTACTTGGACGTTTCTTTCCTCACGTGATCACTTTTATTAGTCTGCTTGAGGTTTTTAATAAAACAAGGATCTCTTTCTGATTTTTACGTACCAGTTTTTAAAAAATTTCACCTTTATGTTGTCCGCAATAACCATATTTGGCGCAGTCTGTAGGATAAAACCCACAATTTTAAAAACTAGTACGAAACTAAAACTTAGAAATGGATCGAATTTTTTATTAAATAACTATTTGGACTCTATATTACATATATTTTTTTTGTATATAGCATAGTGTTAGTTGTTAGGTGCTTCGTGTACCTCTTTTGTTGATTTATTTTTGATTTTTATAAATATTATATAATACACATTATATATTCATTTCATTCTCGTCATGCGGTACTGGTCATATGATTCGTGTTATATTTTGTTCGCCCAGTGTTTTTTGGGCACCTTTTATCATTATAAATTAGAATATTTTTTTACTGTAATATTTGTAAAGTGTTTGATGTATTGTTAGATGTATCCAAGGGCGAAACAAAAAAAATATAAGCGAAATTCCGTTAAATCAGAAAATGGGTATTTTTATGAATCTGGTATGTTCATTTTTTATATATAAAACTTTCTTTCGTGCTGATGATGTTTGCACATAATTAAATATTTCGGTCCCTTAAGGCCGAAGATTACCATTTTATTAATTCCATGTCTTATGGAATTTTCAGATTTCCAAATTTGTTGGTCTTATCGAATTGATTTTTTTCTAGCCTTTTTGATACTTTTAACGGAAAAAACGCTCCTGTTTTTTTTGTTTCGATCGAATTAATAGACGGCTACTGGTATCTGACTGCTTTTAGTTTAATTAAATTAATTTTACAATAGATGGCAGTAGGCGTCATTTTTTATTTTTCAAGATATAAACTTGTAGTAAAACAAGCATACTTTATTAAGTTCAGTTTCATTCGTTTAAATATATTTTTATTAAGATTACTATAGTTTAGATTGTTGTCGAATATGGAAGGATCTGTTAAGGCAGAGCACTTTACTGATTTTGATGGGAGAGATTAATTAAAATTGACTCCTTTCGTTACATGGTGAGTCTATGACTCCCATGAAATTTTTTTCTGCAGCTTCTTTATCTAACCTGTTCTGAGTTAAAGGTACATACTTCTATAGTTGGATAATCATTTTAGAATACCATTGCATCATATTTTGGCACGCAAAACATCTTTTTGTCTATTTACTTAAATCAAAGAGTTAATTTTTAGCGTTTTATACTAAGAACAAGAGTTACAAGAAATATTTTTACATAATGTCCTTTTGTTACAAGTTTATATCATTGGACGTGGTTTTTAATTTAGTTACGCCTAATGAATACGTACCTATTGATGTGTATAAAAAAGAAGAGGCAGTGTAGACAATGTTTTTAATTTCGTTGTTAGAATATGGCCGGTTTTTATTAAGCTTTTTCCTAAATCATAACTTATTCCTTTTTTACAATTTCATACAATCAGATGATATACTTAACTCATAATTTGATTGGCGTTGATAGAAGTAATTATTGAATTAATTTTTTAGTTTAGACGGTAATATACTTTTTTATTTATATATTATAAATTATATACAAAAAAACATACAATGAAGTGTGAAACTTCGTTGAATAATTTATAAAATGAAAATTTCCAAAAAGGTTACAAAATAGTTTAAAACTATTTGGTCCTATCGGGCCATAATCAGTGATACTTAAAAAATTTGAAAAAAGCCACTTATAAAACCGTATAAAAACTTTTAGTTTACGTATAAAATATTAACTGAACTTAAAATTAAACGAGGTAATGTGATGATTATGGATTTTTAACTAAAATGGAACATACCTTTACTCGAAAATGGTGACCACGTCTGGATCAACCCATAGTCCAGCCAACTTTCAGTTTAAAAACTTTTAGTTAGAAAAACCGTAATCATCGATATATTTCATTTTTTAAAATCAAACGTTTTTATACCGTTTTATAAGTGCTTTTTTGTAAATGTTTCCAGTATCAGCGATGATGGTCCGATAGGACCGAAAACGTTTTGAACAATTTTGTAATCCTTTTGGATATTTTTAATAATTTTATAAATTATTAATTACACTAGAAGTTCACACTTGATTGTACGTTTTTTTAAACTATAGTATACAGCAAACTACTCAGAATTCATATTCAAAAAGATAATGTAGAAAGAAAGGTTATGGTTTTGGAAATTTCTATGGGCGATTTCTGGACAAAATTCCTATGTTTGGATTGTAAATTTTTATTTATAGTAGAATTTAAATTTTAGACAATACTACGCATTGATATAGTCAATTATCATTTAAAAAAAAGTCAATTTTGTATGTACCAGCGTCACGAATTGCAGTATTTTCGAATAAATACAAAAAATGTCTAGTGAGATAATGCAGTAAAAAAGTAATATCAAAAACAATGTTCTTCGGTGGCCAAGTGTTTTCAACATCATTTGCCTGTATAAAGTATGTGCCTATAACCTAGCCCCTAACACTCTAAAATTTATGATACTCGAGGTCAATGTTTGAATATATTTTCCAATTGTACTTTATGTCATCATTACATTTTTCTATCATCATTTACGTTCAGTGGGTCGTTAAGTTTTTGATGCTATGCCAGTGTATTATTAAGGATCCTCTGCTTCAACTGTATATATTCCTTTAGTTTAATTTATTTATATAGTAGAAAGATTCCGAAGACCCCAGTGATATTTATACAGAAAGTTCTTGTGAGGTAACTTTATCCATCCAAAAAATAAATTCTGATAAGTAGCAATTGGAAAAACTAGTAAAAAAGGAAATATGGAGGCAAGTACTCACAATTCAAATAAATTGTTTATTGTTGCTAAAAAATAAGCTAACATATAGTTAAGGTCAATGGTCAAGCATATTCTGATGTGAACTGGGTTTTAATAATTTCGAATATAATAAAATATTTTCATTCTTTTAAAGTTATTCTAATACAGTTTAAATCAGACTATACTACATCATTGATGTTAAGTATATAATATTTTATTCTTTAATTAACAACTTTTACAATCACTGATGTAAGTAAAATTTTAAACTAAAAAATTTCTTCTACTGGGCTTGATGATGGGGTGGATATATAGTTTAAACCTCGTAACCGTCGCTCCGTTTTTAGCAAACAAAAAAATATTTGAGTTAAGAGCACATGTTTCTACTTTTTCCAACATAGTGACTACTCATTTTTATTGTATTTAATTAAAATTGTATGATCATGTAGAAGTTTTAAATTTTTTGCTCTGTCATTTTAAAGAATAATTGAAATTTCTTATACCAATCTGTTTTATTTAAACTATTTGAAGTAAAGGATAATTTGTCTTTATAATTTCTTTTCTTATTCATGTATGTACCTTGACATGTACCTATTAACTTTCGATCAAATCATTATCATCAGCAGACCATAGTCGTCCATTGTTGGTCCTCGTCGAAAAACTTCCATTCAGATCTATCTTGCCCGGTTGCAATCCAATTGGTACATATCCTCTTTATGTCGCCAGTCCATCTCGTGGGTGGACTTCCCGGGTTTCATCTATCCGCTCTCGGACGTCACGTCTAGCGATGTGTCCTGTCCACTTCCACTTAATTTTTAGAAGTGAATATATTATATTCGATCAAATACAAAAGCCGTAATTCAAGCGTATTGCAAGATTGTACTAAGTTCGTTTTAATATTCTTTATCCTCCTTCTCTGGATAGTATTTATATTGCTATAGTTTGCACTTATCATTGTTATTTTATTGTCGGGTTTCTTTTCCTGCCTCTTAGGTATATCGTGCAAATATTTGGTTGTTTCAGATTTTCTTTTTTTGTTAATTAGTATTTATTTTTAAATCAAATTTCCCATCTCAATTTAATGAATGATTAATTGAACATTAATATAATATTTAAAGAATCAGTCGTATCAATTAGAATTCTGATTAGAAATGACTGGTTTGTATCTATTTTTACTGTTATCGCTTTTAATCCATTACTAGTGTTTTATTAGGGATAACGTTGATAATAAGTTTTTAAAATAGAGGCTGTTAAACGTATCTTCTTTTTCTTTCTGAGGACATTTCATGCAGCCAACTTATAGACTTTTTACCACAATTTTCGCTGTAATAGAGGCTTGCTCATACAGTTGTTTTCATATTCTTACATGTGCATTGTAGTAGTTTTTGTACTTCAGTCTTCATCAATTTGATGTAACTGTTAAAGATTGCTAGAATTCCTTTGCTGATCCACTGAAAGCATTATTTTTGATATTTTTTGATAATTCATTATACAAAAATTTAGAATTAAAAATTAGTTAGAAAATGTCAATTATGGAATTATTTTGAAGTTACCGCTCTTTTTGTGATGGCTGGTTAACTTGAGTGAACTAAGTAAGTACAGAAATATTAAAAAGAAAACAATATGCAGATAAAAATGGTCGTGTTGTGCATATCTATTGTTTAATTTTTACACAAGAATAAAACACGGTACTTACTAATTGCATACGCACCACAAAAGCAACGAGTGTACTTTTTACAGTGATACCCTCTAATCAGGTGCCTCAATTTTCTTTAAATTCGTTAAAATAATATAAATAGATACTAAGTTAAGAAAATATTATATGAATGTAATATAAATTCACATATTGCTGTTTCACAAAAATATATTAAAAAATGATAATGTTGTTGTTTTATTTTTTTCTTTCCCACTTTAACTCTGTCTAATCTGAGAATGAATTAAAGTAAGTTAGACAGAAAGTCACACTTCATAAATGTCCAAATTCTTAGCCTATCTAACGTTTAAATGCATCAAAGAAAGTTTTTTTTCATTCGTAAATTATCAGCTCTGTTGAATATGGTTTAAAATTTCACTATACATCACCTCATATGGTGGCCCTAATATTATGTATGGATAATTTTGTTTTTTTTTACTACGAACAACATTGCATTCAAGTAACAACGCAACAAAATTAATTCAACTATAAATAAAATGCATGAAAATTTCAGAATCCTAAACTTATGTTAGCACATATGGATGTCAAAAAATTACATATATTTTACGAATACATAGGCTATATGAACGGTATAAAACAAGATTATAACTAAGACATGGGCACAACAAAGGTGTGAACTGTCGATAAGCATAGCTTTAGAATGACAGAATGTGGTTAATGAAAAGAGCAATAAACCAAAAATAATTTTGAGAGACAGATAACGAAATCAAAGACATATAATACAAATAGAATGACTGTTGAAATAAGGACCTATTTCACCAGTGCGAGTGATAAAACTAACGCAACGCAGTCTCTGCATCTCTTTCTACTTTGCCAGGTTTATCTACCACGTGACCTAAATGATCAAGAGAAGATCACGTGTCGATGAAAC